ATGGATATTTAAAATATCAAAAGATAGTATTTGAAACTTTGAACTTGGAACTTAATATGAACAGTTATATTGTTTCATGAATAGTCATACTATTTGATGAACAATTATATTATTTCATCAGCAATTATATTGTTCGATGAACAACCATAATGTTTCATCAATAGTCATATTGTTTGATGAACAATCATAGTGGTTCATCAACAATCATATTATTTGATGAACAGTCATATTGTTTCATCATTATATTTCAAGTTTATAAAAGCATGTTACTACAAAGAAAAGATATATAACAACAAAATACATATATTCTTTTCTTGGTCTTATCTTCTCATTCTTTTAAAGGTTTAGAGGGCTTAGTTGTATCTTGGAGGTGTTATCTCTGTGTGGGACAAATAAACACCTTAAAGATAGTATTTTCACGTCTCTAAACCAACTTCATATTTGTTTCCATCCTAAACTTTCCTAACAATATATATAATAATTTAATTCACTATTTTTTAACACACTTATATATACTATTAAATATTTTTTACGAATTATATATATTTGATAAACCATCCATTACTCGTGGTTCGTTGACTATAATTATAATAAGAAGAAAGACTACACCCACTCACACCAAAAAAAAAAAAACCTCTTAGATTTCAACAATTTTATTTTATCTTTAATTGGCTCAAATTGTATAATTTACAATATATATGAAGAAAAAAATGTACATGTTGTATTTTTATTTTTATTAATAATTAAAAAAAATGTTTTAGTCTTGATATCAAAATCCCTAGTATAATATACATGCTATGAAAATCATATTTATAAATGTGATAATTATGGAATGCGTTAATTAATAAATCCCAATCACAACCTGCTATATGTATCATTTAGGTAAGAAGTATCACTACAGAATTAATTATCTCTAGCATTATTAACATTTCACATGACCTTTGTCTGATTATGCTGCGCATCAACAGGCTGATACTTGGTCGACATCCTCTGATCGTCTGCATCCTCTGATCGTCTGTACATAGTAGCAGGTTCCGACAAGCAAGTAGCAATTGACAATATCAGGAGTATTTCCCGGCAACCTCCAGGAGGCAAGAGCACATCTCTTGAGGTTTAGAAAACATGAGCATGTGATCAGAACCAGGGATAACTTTTACTTCATCCGGTGGATTTTTTTCAATCATCCATCTCTGTATAGCTTCCTTTATTATCTTGTCTTGGTCACACACGATATAAACTCGAGGAACCGATCCGTACTTCTCCTTCGAAACCCAGAGTTCTTCTTGAGTCGCCTCGGCACTAAACAAAGGGTGAGGTCGCAGCAACAGCTTTGCTAGCGAAAGATCCTGCAGGTCAAGTTCTCAAAGAAAGAGAAAACGAGGCAAGGAAGATCAGCAGGAGAGGAGAAGATTCAATCAAGTTTATAGAAATCACGGCGTGCTAAAACATATCTAAATCATGCATGAAAAGAACCACCTCGGCAGGAGAGAGCTGGTACAGCTGGATTGACAAGCAGTCGGGCCCAAGCAGCATGGACGTTGGAGGATTGTTGGGCCCATTATCAAACATGTATTGTGAGTCCATGAAGGAACCTGCTTGTCTGGCATTCTGATAATATATTTCCAAAGTAAATATCACCGTTTTACACGGAGAGAAAGCTTATGAGAGTGATGCGATTCACTCCATAGCTATCCTTGAACTTCAATTTAAGAGAGCAATATGAGATGGAACATAAGAATTAAAGAAGATTAACACAATCACTTCATAAACTTCTGAAGTTATTTACAATATACAGGATCATTGCTGTAATGAGCATACCAACATGCAACTGCAAGGAGAGGGACAGCAAGAACAGGCCATTGAGCTTACGGTTACGCGAGTTGGCTCATCTTAGGCAAAGGTATTTTAACAAATAGGTTGCTTTCAAGGAAAAGCATTTATTTCTCCGAGATCCTGATCTCGAGAAGAAAAATCTTCAGCGTCCGTAATTGCGTTTGGTAGGCAGAGGTTGAACTTTAGACCCACTAGACACTTTGACCCATCATGCACATTTGGCATTAACCCACATGATCATGGATTGGAGTAGCCCTAGAGCCTGGCCATGTTCCATCGTTGATGTTTGGCCATTAATGGTGCCTATGCTAGACAATGTTGAAAGGGAGCTCAGATCAAGCTCATTTTTTTTGTGGGATCTAAGTTCATCACTAGTCTAAACAAAGTAAGAGATTTAGGCAAACAGGATGAAATCTGTTCCCTCACAATCGCATTCTCAGCCTCTCAAACAATCAGCTAGAATCAAATACAAGTAAATCTAATTTGCTGGCTAGTAATTAAAGAAAAGCTACCATCTTATGGAGATCCAATGTAGCCTGCATAATAGATCTGAAAGAACACAAGCCAGGGCAAGAAATAACAGTCCTATAGCTAATTAAGACGTCGAGAAATCATAAAGTATAAATATCATATTACCTTTCCTTCTCTTCTCCGTAAAAAAAAATAGCTCCTCCTCTGGAAGCTTTTAATTTTTTTCTGTGTATGTGTGTGAAGAGAGAAAGAGACAAAAACCAAAAAAAAAAGAAGAGCAAATGATACCTCTTCCTTTGCAGCTGTGAAGCTCAGAGCAGGACCTGGCATGATACATGCTGCGAAGACTGCACAAGAAATTTTCTCAGGGAACCTTTCCATTGCAACAGAATTACAGAGCCCGCCCATACTGTGACCCACTAGAATCACCCTTTCTTCTGGTGGCAAAGATGTCATGAATTCCATCAATGGCTCGAAATAGTCTGAGATCGCATGGAGCTCTTCTACCCGCTTTGGATGGACCCCTGAAGCAGCCATATCCAGAGCTGTAACTTTGTGACCAGCTGATGTAAGCAAAGTTGCCACCTTATACCAACACCATGCTCCATGACAGGCCCCATGGACAAGCACAAAATGCTTCTGCCTCTCCATCTCCTATCCCTTGTGTCTGTCTTCCCGTCCTGCTGGCTATATTATAATTTGATTGGAGAACAAATTGGATGGCAGAGCTTAGTTCATCTTCTTTTATAAGGAGCTGTTACTGTTAAAAAAAATTCTCAACTTTCACGTCACATTGAAAATTCAACAATGGCATTTTAACTGGGCCCACATTTGTCATTTTGCCGTCACTTTATAGCATCACAAGTTGTAATCTTCCTCAGATAAAACCGCAGCCGGCCACGTGCAGAAAAAGAGAGATCAAATTTAATGATGGGAAAAATTATAAATAATTGATATTATATATTATATAGATATATATTATATATAGAGTTATTAATTTAGAATTGATGTATTAACTCATATCAAGTAAAATTAATTTAAGAATATTTTTAAAATAAAAAATTTTACATTATAATTTTTTTCGAGTTTTTATATTTTAAAATTACTTAATAATAACTTTATTATTAATTTTATTAAAGATATTCTTTCTCAATATATATAATGAAACTCTCATTCATTTATTTATAAAACTTCTAGCAACTAGTAAAATTATTGTCAATAATTCTTTATTAATTTGTTATTTTATCCATTTATTTATAAAATTTCTAGCAATTAGTAAAATTATTGTCAACAATTCTTTATTAATTTGTTATTTTATGTAAGTGGGTTAAATATAAATACTAATATATTTTTTTATTGTATCTCTATTTTTTTTTAGTTGTTTAGTATTTTATTTTTAATCACTAATACATTGATCACCATCATTTTTCATATAAAATTCATAATAAAATATATATTAATTCTTCAAAACTCATTTCAATTCATATTTATATACATATAATATTATACATGCACATATTAATTTAACAAATTCATAAATTATCATATCATTAATAAATAAAACTAAAATTAAATAATGAAATAAATAGAAAAAATAAAAGAAACTCATTTAAAACATTAAATATAAAACATAAAAGGTTATTTAACTAATTAATAGTTTAGAACTTTAAAAAAAATTGTAGAAAAAAAGCAGGTAGGAATAATAATTCAAAAAAAAAAAGCTTGTTAAATTATTATATTAAAATTTTAATAATATAAAAAATATTAAAAAAAAATATTGCTCCCTTAATCTCCACTGTGGCAGAGACTAAACTTCAGTCTGCAATCGACTTTTGCATGTATTCAGCTCCATAGCCAAAAAAGATGAATGATACATGTTCAAGTGTTAAAATCAAGTGGATGAAATCTTCACAAGGATGGTCACGGTCCAGGCGAAGCCAATTTCAAATGTGCTGCGAAATCTTTGCATCCTCTGCTATTCGTCAAAAAGACAACTCTTACGTCCTACAATCTCAAACCAAATTAACTAAAAATATTGGAAATTTGTTGTGACTACAAGGAAATAAAAAATTAATTCAAAAAAACTCTTAGTTTTCTCACTCAAAACTCTTGTTCTTTTATATTTATTGATGATTTATAATAATTAATCAATGATCTATAATAATAAAAATAAATTATTATTAATTTTTTAACCTTTTAACTTTCAATATTTATTGTAAAAAAAAAAGTGAAAAAAGAGTTTAAACTAAGAAATTTTTAAACTTTTACATACTCTTTCTTGCCTCTCATAATTTAGTGTTTTATTCTTATTTTATAATTTTATTTCCTTTTAAATCTAGTGCTTAGGCTTATATTATTTAAAAATATTTAAATTTTTTATTATTTGGTTCAAATACTTTGGTTTAAAAGTACATTTAAGTCAAAGTAGTGTTATTGAAATCCTAAGAGACATATTGTATATATTTTAATTTTACAAGTGAGGAGTAATAAAACTTTAAGAACAAAAGATTCATTATTTTAAAGTGATTCAAAAAATAAATACCTTCTTATTTTAATTTGATTATTTTTTGTCTTAAGTTTATAAATTTAAGCATGTATATACTTTAGTCTTTCCTAGAAAATCTTTTGTATAGCATGTCTATGTGATGATAAATTATCAATCTATGTTAATTTTTTTTAACTGCAATCCTATCATGATAAACTACGCATATTTGTACACTAGTTGACACGACTAAAAGATTGATGTCTTCTCTCAAGTGCAAGAGTGTCGAAGTAATAAATAACCCGGTAAAACCGGGGTCGAACCACAGAAAGGCTAATTGTACAAATTATAAACAACAACAATAATAACAATAACAACAACAATAATAATAGTAGCAATAATAATACTAATAATAATAATAGAAGTAGTAATAGTAGTAGTAATAATAATAATAATAA